GGGAAATCAATTACTTTGTGGAAATCTGATGCATAAGGAGAATTATTAAAGGAATTAATACAACCTCAAAAATTGCATCAGAAATACCTTTGTGGATCATAAAGAATCGTTAAACCTCTTTCTGATGCCTAAGTTTTCTGACTGAAATAGCTCAGAATCTCATTCCGTATGATCTTACTTTACCACCCTACAGCCCACCAAACCAAAAGTGGGGGCTGAGAGGCGAAGTCACTTAAGCAGCTCGATCTATTGTTTAAGGATTGATTAGCATCTCAACCCTTAAACAATACTCCAAGCCAGTCACTAACTCCACCCCCCCCCCCCCCAAGCTGCCTTTTTCTGTCTTGTGGACTATAAGTAAGACTTTTTCCACTAGTTTCTAATTCATAAAAAAAAGTAGCCAAACCCTTCCTTTGCCAATTCAGAAAATTAAACTTTTCTTTAGAGAATAGACATGTAAAACGGGCTTCTTTCTTTCTATGATTGTTCTTATCAATTGCACTTATTTCAGTTATCTTCTCTCTTAGATTTTCACTTTCAGACAGTGTTTTTGAAACAAATGAATGACATGACCCCCATCTGCTGTCTAAAATATTAATTTGCTAATTCTAGTGATAACTTTTAGAGTTCATGGTTGAATTAAATTTTACCAAGACTATCACCCACTACATTCAGTTTATTTTTGTTATTATATTCAGTTGATACAACACACATTGAAGAGGTAGATCAAGGTTTACCAAGTCTAGACATGAACATGCCTGGAACATCATCCATCAAAGATTCACCCAGACAAGTAATCAAAAAAGCAGCAGTTTCATCAAAAACAACGGGTGGCAAACCACCGCTGGGAGAGCTGAGAATGACCCTAGCCTCCCGTCCAACGGTTGTGGAAACGAAACCAGCTGTAAATAGAAAGAGACTGCCTTTCAACTCCAGAGCCTCTGAACCTGTCATGTCTGCCTCATCAAAGGATGCCTTACGAAAGTCCAAAGTTCACTAGCGAATGAGATGGTTTATCAAATGAATTGATAGTATCCATTCATTCAGATTCAGGATTTTTCTAGTTACAATGGCTGTGCCATTTTTTGTACTTGGTTGTTAAAGTATGTTCATTGATAGAAAGAAATCGATGGCCATAGTGCAAAACCACATATCTCTATCGCGATGCCTCAAAATTTCTGTTCCTCTCTTATTTTTTCAAAGAAAAATAAGCCAACTTTGAAGGTTGAAATTATTGTGGAATATTATTCTTTTTGCAAAGAAAAATCAGAGAAGTATTCAAGACTTTATGATGGTTACTTTTCCAAAGGAAAAATGAAGTATTACAGGAAGTTTGTTACGTCACAAATGGAGGTATAAGATTTTGCACTTCGGCCACTGAAATATGCGAGAGTGGGTCAGAAGGAGAGCATCCTGTTTCTGCTGACGGTAATGTAAAAGTTGCTTAGTTGACTTGGTAACCAGAATAAACTCCTGATAACGCTCTGCAAAACGGGTTTTCACTAAGCGCATTGTTATGGGTCAGTGAGAAAAAGATCCTCCTCAAATCAACCCTTTCTTAATTTGTAAAAAATAAAAATGAGTTATGTAGAATTTATGAAGTTTGAATAAAAGTTCTTTTTTAGAAATTTCCTCTGAATCCTTTCTGAAATTTATCTTACTCAAGTCCACCTTGTTCAGGCAGTTATAAAAGAGCTTGAAAGAATTTAGGAATCAGTTCACCATCAGAGACTGAACTGTCCGTTTACTCCACATGGAAGCATTGCAGAGTCATTCATTTCTGAATAATTGAAACGCTGGGTGTAGAAAGGGTACTTCTTGGTCGCGGTGTCTCAGGATCTCTTCAAACGTTTCATCCATTGTGATCAAAGCAAATGTTTGTAATTTGTAGAAACTTTTACTCAATATTCTTTATGAATTAATGAAAATTAACAATACTCTAAACGAAACACTTCCTAAAATTCACCCAACAGTTTTGGTCTTGTCTTAAAAATGCAAATTAACAGCAAAGATTTTGAAACACTGCATCTGAGAAGTACCCTTTTACCACCCAACACCTCATTATGACAAAAGATCGTTTGGTTATGATTGCTTATATTCTTGCTTACGCTGTAATGCTGTCAGAATGGTCGCATTTGCTCAGAAGGCGCCTGTCATTCCCATCTTTTACTACCTCTTTGCATTGAATTGAGAAACCATGCTAAAATTTTTCAACCTCACTGAATAAAACGTAAATTTTTTTTTTTTTTTTTTTAACATTTTTAGTCTTCAGCCTGACTTAAGTAAATTTGGTGAGTCGTCAAGTCTCACAAGGAGGTATTCTAAATTGAAAATTTAAATCAACTTAGAAATTGGTTAAGATGCTTCCTGTTGCGCAAGTCTTTTTCTAGGTTAGAGAATACATGTAGTGTAGAGTGTTATAATCCTTCTCACAGAGGCCCTTTGCAGCTTTTTTTTTTTTTTTTTTTTTTTTTTTTTTTTTTTTTTACCTTTAATTTTAAGTTTTAGCAGGAAAAAAAAATCATTGCGTCCTTATTTGCACTCAAGGACTGGCCATTCTGAGTGATGATGTATCCTAGCCTCCTGAGATGTGTTACCAAATTTTGGTCTTTAAACCCAGGATACTTAGACTGAGGGTTTTGTTTGGGAGGAGAGATTTGCAAGAGTTGGTACAACTTTTACAGCATCAATAAAGTGGATTACAATTTGTAGAAAAGAACCAACATAATTACAGTGTTGTAAAAATCGTGCATCTTCATGTCTAACTAAAAAGATGCCTATATTAGAAGATAGATTGTGTTTTTCTACAAAAACATTAATAATTTTAAAGGAGACTGAGCCTCAAATCATATAAATTGTAGTACTCTACATTATATGTAGTATTTTTTAAAGCAAAGAAGTTGCAAACTTTTGAAAACATTGTAATCACATTGGTTCTCTTCTACTAAATAGGATCTAAACTACATATATACATACTAACCATACATAATTTTGCAAAAGTTTAAAAAACTGCTTGGGGCCATGGTCTTACCCCTCAAATGAAGCGTTATTAAACCACTGATAGGTAGAGGGAGATGGGAAGGAAGTATCTGACAACAATTTGAAACAAAATATGGGTCACAATTTTTTATTTGATGACTTACTAATCAAGTCTGTAACTTTGGTGAGATGTACAAAATAGGGTGTTACGTAAATAATTATGGTGGAAGGTTTTCACAAACCACTTTTTAATTATAGTAAAAAAAACTAGCTTGACATTCTCAAAAATCCTTGTTTACTGTGACCTTCATTTAATCACAATCAACAAAACAGAATGATTAGGTAATTAACGCCACAGACTTGAGGATAGCTGTGTGAAAACAGTTTATAAAATGCGTGAGAACCAGCGTCGGTAAATTATTGACAACAGTAACCCATCAATTTTTGTGAACAGATGTAGAAAATTCTCACTATTAAAAAGTAGGTGCCAATTTTTTGGAATGAAATCATGGCTAATAAAGGGAAATAATACAATTCTGAAAACTGATGATAGTAAAGTAGTAAAACTAATGATAACTGTTTAAAAAGGATTTGAAAAAACTTGCAAATTATGAAGAAAAACTCTTGAAAAAACTATTGGTACATCCGAGTTAGAAGACCTTTATCGTTCTTTTTTTCTGTAAAAATGCCACCATTCACTTTCACAGGTTTTGATTACATCATTCCAATAACTTTTGACGAAAATTTTAGATACAATTTTAGTTTCTATGTTGCAATTTTGTCTTCAGCATCAATATCGATGATTTTAAGAATTGAACAAAATTTTGTTGCAAATTTTTTTCCATAAATTTTTTAAACGTGAATTTCAAATAAATTTTACATTAAAAAAGGACAAAAAAGTTCCCTACCTCGGACATCCTAACAATTTTTACACGTTTTTCAAAGTTCAAATAACAGTCAATCCTATTGGGAAAGAAATTGGAACATAATAATGAAAAATACAATTAAGAAAATCGATTGTGCTATTCTATTTAGGAAAAGAAGCTTTCTAGCTGGGAGGCAAAACAGAATACCTTTACTGCGATAGGTATTTGATTTCGTATACATTGTACTTTAATGATCTGACGAAACTTGATGAAGTCTATGAGGAATATCCCATGCTACAAAATAAAGCAATCAGAAGTCGTATAATTAGTTGACTGTTACTTCACTTAATGGCTGAAACTGGGAGAGATAAAAATGTTGGCATTTGCTTGATCCTTCTTTTGACAATGGGAAGTAACAAGTCAAAAATTTGGCAACACTGTAACCTTTCACAAAATCAAAGGCCAATAAATTGTTACAAAATTGAAAAGTCCTTTACAGAGCCTTCTCCGTTTTTCAAGCACATTCATTTCTTCTCCCAATGCTGATTTGTAGTCGTTATTTTCCAGCTGCCCCTGCCCCTCTCCAAAAATTTCAAAAGAGTTAAAAAAATTTCTTCTGATAGAACTTGCATGAAAATTAGTCAAAATTAGAATTTCAAAAGAGGGAATAGGTAAAACCTAAGTTGCTATGGGAGACATTTGCTTCTGAGGGAGAGCCGCAGAGCCCACAATAAAGATGTCTACATGAGAACCTGTGATACTTTAATATTTAATGCTAGTAGTACCTGAGACAGTAAAACGTAATAACTTTTAACTTTAAAGTTTTTCTATCACAAAAATTATACAGCAAAAACTACAAAAAAAGAAAGGAACCTGAGATTTTCTATCTAGCCATGAGACATTCAAAAGAGGTTCATTGTGATGGTTATTCCGATGCTTACAGAAGTTTTTGAGAAACTTTTTGCAAGTGAGGCTCCGAGTGTAGGCAATACTGGACTCAAAGATACGCAAAACATGAAATCCTTTTTAGATGAGATGTTCTGGGCCGATAATCAAATGCAGAATAAAATAGAAATAAATAAATTAATCCCATTTTTAGGAAAAATTAAGGACAAACACAATGTCTCTTTAAATAATGTAAAATGTTCTTCAGAATTGAGTTCAGCAACAAAATGTCAGTGACAAGAGAACAGATACACAGCGAGAAAGAAATCACATCTACACTGAGATCTCCCAAGAGTTACAAAAATGTATTTAAACCACATTCATCGCTTTCAATCTATTCACAGTTCAAATAAGTACTTCAACATGGGATTCCTTCAGGACATTTAAAATAACATTTCACCGGAATTTGTGGCTCTCAGACAAGTTTTCCTCACAGGAAGACAGAACGCAATTTCTCTTTTCTTTTTATCTTGTTATTCTCTTAGCCAAAAATAACCTCAAAATTTCTCATGTCTGTCTCCCCCAACATTCCGATTTCTTGAAGAGGAACTCATAAATTGAATAGGTATCTGTATTTGTCATATATTTTGGCAAACTTTCTCCAATCACCTTTTTGCTTTTGAAGCTACAATGGTTGATTTCTTCAATCAAGAGGCGTTGCATGATTGGACAAGAATGTATTATTTACCGATTCACTTTCAATTGTCACTGCATATAATGAACATACATTTGGCATTGAAGCGAACTAACATGACTCATTGGTTGTGATTAAATGAATAATTTGTGATGGAACATCTTACATCCTGTAACTATCGGCAAACTGCCTAACTCTTAGAGTAAGAGGCATGCTTCATATTGAGACTTGTATTTACATTAATTAAGAGTGCATTTAAACCAGCCACATCAAGTCTCTGTTAACAATACCTATTCCACGAGATTTTCACATCATTTTTTAACAAGTTACCACTGTGGTATCCTCAGAATGAAACGTAAATTGAATTTATGGAAAGACACAGGATAATGTTCCATGATAAGGCAAGATAATACTCACTTCATGGTACATTATCCTCCTATAGCTATGCATTTTTCCATTCAGAAGTGAATGCAATGAAAGCAATTATTGAAACACATGCTGATTAAATGTACAGATTTTTTGAGGGAATATCAGCAGGAAAAACCTGTGACATATCAATCCTAGATTCCTTCAGAGAGTGTTTAAATTTGTTAAAACTAGGATTATCTCCATCTTGGCTTGATGTTTCCCTCCGCCGTTTGGATAATAGCACCGCTGCTTCATACTGCTGTTTGATGTAATCTGCTAGCCCTGATGACAAAAAAAGAGAAACATAATTGAGTGATGGAAATTCAAAACGAACATTTTGGAGGTCAACAAATTCTGAACAAAATTACATCTTTTTGGAGGAGTAGACAGTATTCTCAACATTTTCGTTCGAGACCTAATGGCCAATCATTGAACGTTTAAGCAGCTGTAATAAGACAGCAAAATGCGATACATAAATTGCACGGTTAAGATAGAGCTATGTCTTGCCTTCTTAAATCAACATAGATTCACTAATCGTGCTGCTGGTGACAAAAATAGTTTCACTGCAGAAAAAAAATCTAGAAGATCAATATTTAATCTTTTTGTTTTGCTATAAAAAACAGAGCTTGGCGCAAAATGGATTGCTCAGCGAAATTAGTACAAATTGTGTCACTACACTACTTTTTTGTTTCTTTATAAAAAAAAAAAGGAATAGAAGGAGAGTTTGAATATTTCCAAATTTCCCATGACAATTATTCTCTTTGGAGAAAATTTATGAATACCTATTTTTCATGCATACTTTCGCAACTAATAGACTAATTGTAAGTTGCAAAAAAAAAAAATCAGCGGAAGAATTCAAGGGAAATGATTCACAGTTTGTCCAGAAAAATCATATTTCATCTGAAGAAATTCAGTAGCCTCAGGTTCTTCCTACACTGTTCTACTTCCTATGCTAGTTCTGAGGTTGAACATTTTGTTGAGGAAAATTTAAATACTCATGAAAGGAACAACTAATGGTCCAATTAGATTTATACAAACAGGAAGTAAGTGATATGATATTTAACATTCATTTCATAGATATGTCGCAGGCAAATAGTAAAATTAGGCATTTTGCCAAATGCCTAGGCAAATAATCAAATATTCTTATGGGGAATTATTTTAGTTGCGGACGTTATATTCTATGCCTTAAACGGTCTATGAGTTGGTCTGCTCAGCCCACTAAATTCAAATTTTTCCAAGACTGAGTAATGTACCTTGCTCTCTATCATGCTGCAAATTTTTGTTGAAAAAGATTATGTACAATGCAAGATACAGGTCAAAGAAGGCCGTTAAGGACGTTACAAAAAAAGCCTCTCATTTTTGAGGACCTTACTTTGACTTCAATTTTTATAGAAACTATTTACTTCATCTAAATTCTGGTTAGCCCTGGTAACGTCTCACTGAGTCTACTTTTCAATGAAGTATACATCTCAAATAAAGTTTACATGATTTTGTTGAGATATTGCCACTTTTATGGCGTTGCGGACGTTACAAGGTTTTGTTGCGAACGTTACAGCCATAGAACTTAGTACCTAAAATAGGCTGTAACCCTCACAGTTTATGAAGTTATTGAATTAAAAGGTAATAGCATGAATTAGGAAAGCCAATTGTCACAACAGTCTAAGAATTTCACCTTAAATTCAATACGAATAGCTGTGAGAGACTTTCTGAAGTAAATATCTGAGGTGATGGTTGAGCCAAGTTTCTATCTTTAAAATACAACCTACAAATAAATTTAAGCACAATTTATTTGTGAAAATGAACAGAACGGCAAAGTTAAGAAATGTTACATTTATCATTAGTATAAAAATGAGCCTTTTAAGAAAAATACAGGGTGTCCTAGATCACCCGTATAGTGCTATTTATTTAGTTTTTTTAGGTCGAACGAAGTCGGATACGGCAGAAATGAAAGGGCAATTGACCCCCAAGGAATCTGAATTTCATCCTCTCGAGGCCCCTACTGCCCCCATTGGTAGGTAACATGGGGATCCACCTTCAAAAGTGGGGATGCCGGTGCCCATGAAAATCATTCCATCAAACTCAGGCGGTACAAAAAATTTTAACCTAAACAATCCCCAAAAAATCCAAAACTGGCCATGTGCACTGCCCAGAAAATTTCCTTAGAATTTTTCACAGCAAACGAAAATATCATAATAATGTTTTAAAAAATCACGGAAAGGTGATTTTCATGGGCATCGATAGATAGCAGCAATAAGCCGCATTCCCGATGTAGGCCCCCGCGTGTGCATACTAGTACCCCCGCGTGTACACTACATATAGTAACGCTGTTATAGTAGGAGGTGCAGGTTAGACACGATAACCGTGCTGTCGAACACAAAGAGAGGTTAAAAGTAGTTACGATCAATAATTAAATTGTATTTAAATGCACATCATCAGGACAAATGTATCAACTAACTAAAAAAACAATAAGAAATGTTTTACCGAAGTTGAATTTAAAATTGAACACACTTTATGAGTGAAAATAAATTAAAACATTATCGAGTTGCTATAGTGTACCTGAATTTTTAGTACGAGCTTATCAAACAAGTTAAATGTGAGATTACTTCTAGCTAGAGCCGTGTAACGTCCTCTCCCTTGCAGAAGTGACACTTTTTCAACTTTGTTTAACATGATAACTGAAGTGGCTAAATACGTTCTAACACTACTGGAGTATCAATAAAGAACATGTCCTATCGTTCACGAAACACGAACTTCTAAACTGACTCCTGCGTTAAATGGCATAAAGTTTAGTAGCTTTTCTGTTGCGGACATTACATTTTCACATGCCTTCACAAAATGAGGAAAAATATTGCATATATTTGTACTTTTCTGCAGTTGAAGGCTGTTCGATATTTTTAAGGAACTTAACTTTAACTCCATGTGATTTTAAATCATAAAGATGCAATGTGTAATGAATAAAAATTACTCCAAGCATAATCTCGAAAATCACTGGTCTCCACATGCCTTCAGAAAAACTGAAAAATCTTGCGAATCTAGGAACTTGAAATGAAAAGTGAACTCATTTCCTAAAATTAAAGAGTTTTTCTATATGGTACACTAAAGTTTATCATACACAAGTTAAGTTGATTTTTCAACCTTAAAGGTCCCGTTTAGAAATAATTCCCCTTATTTAGACTGATATTCTAATTATTTTGCTGACTGTAGACAAAATTTTTCTCTGATAATGTGGGAAGGAATCCTCTGTAAAAACTTTCTCTAGATAATCATAAGTAGGCTTTTTTAGTCCTTAATTGCAAATTCATCTCAAAATATGCAGCATTCCATACATTAAAAAGTTTCCACAATTTGGACCGTGGAAGAAATATGAGTACCATTTTTGAATGGGAAATACAATGACAGTTTGTACTTGGACGGATAATTAGTCTAAATATTGAAAATTTGAGAGGTCTTCGGGAAAACATAATAAACCACACTAACTCTGAAAATTTGAGTACCTGCCTAGACATTTGATAAAATGCCTAATTCTACTGTTTGCCTGCGACAGGTACACGACGAGAGGAAAGAAAGAAGCATACCTGAATATGTGACCCATGATGAAACAGCATAGGGGATTCTGATTCCAGGGTTATCAAAATAAGTAATGCCAAATTCCACGCCCGGCTGAAAAGGAAAGAAAAAATCAAACTTAAAAAAAATATAAAAAAAAACAAGACAAAGAAGAATCCCCCGCATTTAGCATTTCCACTATACAACAGACCGATTTAAGAAAGATCTCCTTTTAAATCACGAGGTTGTAACACTTGACTGACTCCCTCAATGATGGAGAGATAAAAAATAAAGTCTTACAGTGTTACTAAATGTTGTAAAAAATTTGCGAAGACATTAGTAGACATAATGTTGTAAAAAGACAGTAATTTGAATGATCATCCACAGAAAAAGGGACTCCCAAGTTCCAAGCCCAAAAACTTTAAACTATAAGTCACAGTATCACTGCTTGGAGGAGTTTTTCTTACAAACATACTGGCAAAAAAAAAAAAAAAAAAAAAAAAAAAAAAAAAAAAAAAAAAAAAAAAAAAAAAAAAAAAAAAAAAAAAATTAAAGGAGCAAATAGTATTCAGTGATTGTTAATGTGCAGAACTGCAGACACTCACCTCATGAAATTCTGTGCGTGGTTTTATAACCATGTAGGACCAATATTCTTTGACACGATGCTTGCCTGAAACTTCTGGGCGGTTTGGATGCTCTGTGCTTTCATTGACGATGGTGATCAACTTTTTCTCATTATCTATTTGGAATCTTCGATTGAAAACATAATCACGATTGCTAAACATTCTCTGCAATCCATGACATCAAAAAAATGAAAGGATCTATTAAGGTGAGAAACGTATACAATTTAAAAAAAAAAAAAAACAAAAAGAAAGTTAAAGTGCGTCGGGAGATGCGAAAAATATAAAAGTACCGTGGCCCAAAACTGGTAACTTAGGTTAGATGGATTAGGTTAACTGGATAAAAATACACGGCTCTTGTGAGAGAATACCAAAACTTGAAAAAAAGAAAAGATGAGGCAAAATTATGACCTTAAAAAATAGCAATTAAAGATTTGACAGTAATTGCAGGTTCGTACATTAAGGTGGCCCAACTATACATGGCAAAATTTATTTTGAGAATGTTTTTGGTCTCACCCCTCAGAACTAATCCATTTGATCAAAAAAACTCTCTGCCAAGTTTCAGCCAAATCGGATAATATTAACCCGTGCCGACAGAGCAATCATTTTTGTAAGGGACTTTACACTGAAAAACACTTTTTTTCAGAAAAATCCATTTCCCGGAAAATGTATAATTTCTAGAAAAAATCTGAGGTCATATTCGACTTTAGCAGGAAAAGTTGAGTGGGCATGGTGGTATTGCACCCCTCAAAAAATTTGTACCCCTCGTTATAGCAGTGAAACAACTGAAACATCTAGAAAACCCTAAAAAAGGGTAAAATGACAGTGTTAAATCGCAAATGATTACATAGGTCTGCATCTGAGAACAAAACTCAACATACGGTAGATGCTATCCGCGTACTTTTTTACACTGAGTCAGAAAATGCAATCCATTTTTCTCTATTCCATCAGGATTTTCCGGAAAATCGATTTTCTTGTAAAACAGAAGGTTTAGCTGAGTCCAAAAATGATGACAAAGTTGCTCCAATACATCGGGATTTTCCGGAAAATCAATTTTCTCGTAAAAGCAGGGGTTACCAGGGAAAACTCAATTTCTTAGGAAATAGACGATCGACTTGTAATAGATGTTTTTTATGTGTTTGGCGTCAGGGCGCCACGCGACGCAGGCATCTTGCCAGACGGAGACCTCTCCGTTAGGTAGCAAAACTACTGAGTCTACAAAATTCGCCATCAGGACATTTTTTACGTAAAATCAATGTACCAGGAAAGTGCAAAAAATGACTAGCTCCCATACTTCTTCAGACGTTCCGCCACTGAGTTAAGAAATGACCTGTTTTTTTGGTTGAAATTCACTAGTTTTCTAGGGTACCGAGTTTCCCCTGGAAAATCCACTTCTTTACAGGAAAACTTTAGTTCCTCAGAAACTCCTAATAGAATAGAAGGAAATGGTTATCAATTTCGAATTCAATGTTAAAAAGCACATCAAAAACATCTATTACAAGTCGATCGTCTATTTCCTAAGAAATTGAGTTTTCCCCGGCAATCCCTGCTATTACGAGAAAATTGATTTTCTGGAAAATCCCGATGTATTGAAGCAACTTTGTCATAATTTTCGGATTCAGCTTTAAAAAACACAAAAAAACTCATCCATCTCATGTTGAGGTTTATTTCCTGAAAATTGAGTTTCCCCCAGAAAACCTGTTTTACAAGAAAATCGATTTTCCGGAAAAACCTGATGGAATAGAGAAAAATGGATTGCATTTTCGGACTCAGCATAAAAAAGTATGTGGATAACACCTACCATATGTTGAGTTTTGTTCTTAGATGCAGACCTATGTAAATATTTGCGATTTAACACTGTCATTTTACCCTTTTTTAGCGTTTTCTAGATGTTTCAGCTGTTTCACCGCTACAACAAGGAATAAAATTTTTTTTGAGGGGTGCAATACCACTATGCCCACTCAACTTTTCCTGCTATAGTCGAATATGACCTCAGATTATTTCTAGAAATTATACATTTTCCGGGAAATGGATTTTTCTGAAAAAAGTGTTTTTCAACGTAAAATCCCATATAAAAATGATGGCTCTGTCGGCACGGGTTAATATTATCCGATTTGGCTGAAACTTGGCAGGGAGTGTTTTTTGATCAAATGCATCAGTTCTGGGGGGTAAGACCAAAAAAGTTCTAACATTGCCAAATTTGGGCCACCCTATGGCACATTATGAGAGAGCACAGGTCTACAAAGCATAGATACTGGGTTACTGGATACTGGGTTGCCAGACACAAGTTGTGCTTCATAACTTTCTGTGCCTTTGATTAGAGTTCCTTTATACCCAGAGTTAAGACAACTCACTTTTGGTTGGGCTGAAAGTGGCCTAAAAAAAAATCCAATTTTGATTGGTTCTCGCTCATGGAGGCCGAAACGAGTGCACCAAGATGGCGGTACCTCGAATGTGAACAAGAATAATGAAAATATTACCTAATTGTGGTTTATCAAGAGTAAATTGTTATTTCCATCGGTCCAAAATGAAAATAGATTAAGAAATTATTCACAAACCAATCTCATTTTCTTTTTAATTGATCAATTTGTTGATGTTGTTGTTTTTGTGTGACAGACATCGCAGGATTCCTGATCCTTATCCCTCAATATCGTTCGTTTGGGTGCACTCGTTTCGGCCTCCATGGCCAGAACAAGGCTGGCTGCCAGTCAGCTGATAATCGAGTTGTCTTAACTCTGGGTATAAAGGGACTCTACCTTTGATTTCAAAGTGATGGCAGATGTTCCACAGTAAAAAGATGATTGAATAACAGAATAATACGCACCGGCCATAGAAGCTCCCAATAAATTATATCACTGTTTGATTTCTCATCCGAATCGATTATTTCCAGTTCTAAAGCTGTTTTGTCCCACTCCTTGCGAAATTCTGTATCACAGTGGACACGGAAAAAATCCTCAGCAGTAACATCATGAAAACAGCCATAAACTGGAAAGAGAAAACAATATATGAACTGTAAATCAACTGAACTATTTGATCTCTAATTAAGTGAAATATGAAAGTTCAATTCAAAATATTCATTCGACGGACGATAGAAGATATGTGCAATCAATGTTGGTTGTGATGAATAACACCCCAAGTAGCATTGTCATCTACTTTCTAGGTGGCGCTCATCAAGAAAATGTCTACTTTCTAGATAGAACAATTTTCTTGAAAGAAAATAGGTATAAAGTAGATCTAGAGAATAGACACAAGAAAATAGAAAGAAAATACATTTTTTCCTTGCATTTTCTTAAAAGAAAACATTAAGAAATTGGCTAGAAAATAATTCTACTTTCAGTAAATTTTTTATCTTATTTCCAAATGGGAAGTTGACAGAAAGTAGACCTAAGAAATAGATCTATTTTCTTTGGTCAGACTTTTGACTCGCAATGTTTTTTCTTTCTATTTTCTAGATAACTCTCATTTTTTTTGTTTCTTCTAGAAATTTTCTTAATATTTTTTTTCTGGAAAAAAATTCTATTTTGCTACTTGGGACGGTGATTTTTAGGTATCTCTTGACATCATGTAGTGATACAGTGATTGAATGGATTCTAGTCTCTTGTTGCTACAGTGCAATTAAATGATAAAGCAGCAATTTGTGGAAAAAATATTGGGCTTATTAATCTAAATCTATTTAAATATTGGCTAAAGCCATGTGCTCTCAGCGAAAAAAGCGCAAAACACCATTTTAGTTAGATAGACCAATGAATTGTTCAGTGCAATAGGCCTGTTGCAAACTTCTGCTAGAGCAAAACTAAGAGTTGTTTCTTATAGATAATGCCTCAAAAATCACGATGAGCGCATCGGCAAAGTCTGAAATGCACTCATAACTTCGCAATCTGCGTAAGAGATTTGCAGTTTTTTGAGGTTCCCGCTTCAAAAACAATACTACGGCACAGGTTAACATTTAGTTAGAGGAGTCGTTCCATCGTCGGCAATATTCATCATGGCCGACGCCAATCCGCCAAAACACGTGTGATGGGACGAGATAACACCTGAGCAGGATTAGACCAGATAACCGTGTTTACGTTCATATTTTCCTCGCCCGCCTTGATTGACCTTGAACTCTCCTCGAATTACGCACGGAACTGCAGAAGCCTCCGCCATGATGAATATTGCAGACAATTGAGCGACTCCTCTAACAGAATGTTCACCTGTGCCATTGTATCGTTTTGGGAGCGGGAAACTAAAAAAAAACGCAAATTTCTTACGCAGATTGTGAAGTTATGAGTACATTTCAGACTTTGCCGATGCGCCCATCGGCATTTTTGAGGCATTATCTATAGGAAACAACTCTTATTGTTGCTCTAGCAAAAGTTTGCAACAGGCCCATTCTATTCTATCATGAAGTTGTTGATACAGTGGTTTGGAGACTTGCAAAGGAAAACTTTCATAGTTTTTCGAAATTTTTTTTGGCAGGTGCTTTTGACCAAAGGTAAGCCTTATGTGTTTAGCAAAACAATAATCTTACATGCGAGCGATGAAAAGATTTAAAATTTTTCACCACACAGAGGCTTTAGTGGGAGCCATCTTTTATTTCATCTACAGCAGAAACTTTTCCTTCCCCGCTCTTCAAAAATTGTATTCTATTACTTCAGCACACTTAAATTTTAGGACACAGCTTAAATTTTAGACAAAAATATATAAGTGCAGAGAAACTTGCTCAAAAGCAGACCCTCAGGAACGTTCAGAACAACATTCATGATCATACCCCATACTTTGTGAACATTAAACTGGGAACGAATCTGACAGTACCTCCAGCTGAACACCCTGTTAGTCAGAGTTGGGGGCCAATAATTCGGCAATTACTGGAATTGGTGTGGCAACACTGACTAGATGCTCGGTCCTCAGAATTCTCTACCTGATACGATAGATCAATTTAATTGCATTTTGCAAAAAAAAAAAAAAAAACTAGAAGCATTGCAATGGTGCTAAGATTGAGCAACTTCATCCTTTGCAATAAATTTACTGAAACCATGAGAAAATATGAAATTTACATGATAATTTTTGTTTTAAATTTACAGGTTTCAGTGAGTAAAATAGAAACTGTTAATGGATAATCAGGTTTTTCTACCAAGACAAAACAATTTCAATTTCTGGTCCAATTTAGAAAAAACATACATGCCATTGGTTTTCCTATGCAGATATGCGCTTTTATGAAAGAGCCACAGATAGTGGTTCTTTATTGCAAAATGCAATCCAATTAGCAATTGATTGGACGTTTCTGATTGACCAAATGCTTTCCGAATAATTTTTTCTCAATTCTGCTGTTGGTACACTACCTGTACTCGATCACCTATAATTTGTGATCCTGGAAATTCTCATGGACAAAATAAAAGATACATGCTACTTATCAGCTCCAAAGGAAGCCCGGAGAGAAAAGAAAAATTAGGTAAAGGATCATGATCTCACCTCAGTCATTTGCATTTACTTACTCTTCCTCCCTCGATCTTTTAGAAATAAAAATTCCCAAAGAAAAATAGAGAGGAGAAGAAAAGTAATAATGGAAATAAATACAAACTTTCCTACAACTCAATTTCTATGTGGATGGTTCGAAAATAAATTACTCACTTTTGTAACAATAAAGTCCTTCGCCAATATGATCTACTTCTTCTTTTTTCCATACAATAAAACTATCACCTCTATAAAATTCTACCCAACCGTCATCTGAAAAGTAAATGCCAAGGATGTATAAATACATATAAAAGAAACATGTTCACTTAAGCTGTTACTTCATGAAAAATAAATAACTCACTTTCCCCACTCTGAAATTTGCTGCCTCTATACAACTGCCTGGGTTATCTGCCCTGAAAATCCGAGCAGGTATTCAAGAAAGCCGAAATGGCACGTACACGTTCATAATGGGTTAGTGGCAAAGAATTCTTCCACGGATGTGGAATAGTTTCTCGTTTTGAAACATTTCTTGAAAAACCAAAAAGTCCAAAAAGTAAAACAAATTATTTCTAAGGGAGTAAGAAAAAGCTAATCAAATCAAAAGCACAACAGTCAAAAGGAAATACAAAAACAATACCTGTATATGAATTTCGGCAATCAGCAAATGCTGTTTTCCTTGCCTGGCTTTATCTTGGCTTTATGGCCGAGAGTATCGTTTTAAATGGTTCCCGTTTTAGGCATTTACAAAACCAGGTTTCTTTGCCATTTAAGGTTTGATAACATCCGAAAAAGTATTTTTGAGCTTTGTTTACACCGTACTTTTAGAAATTGAATTTAAAAAAGTTGGGCCACTGACCCGTCATCCATATGATCTTTTTGGATAAATTGTTTTTCAGTCCTTTGTAAAAATTCATGTTGTTAGATTTATGATTATGCTCTTTTTCAAAAACAGCAATGCATCTGAAAGGATAGTTGTTCATTATCATGTACAAACCTGACGAATTTCTACAACGAGAACAATTGCAGATGGTCTCATTGGACACACTACTTTTTTGATGATCTTTCTTTTGAGAGCCCTGAGACTGGCACTGTAGTTCTGAGTGAGAGCAAAGTGGGGCTGATATTGTACTCTGTAACCGGTAAATCCTTTCAAATTCGCGTGAATGCCTGCAGAAATTTTTTTTTTCATTAATCTTAATGTTTCATGAAGCATGCATTTAAATGATAACTTGGTACTAGAAACCACAGACTGATGAATTCTTGGACTGGAAAAACACATGTCCTCTCACACATCGACATTGAAACTCCCACACCACATACTTTACTTGCAGTGTTAAAAAATCTCCACTCCTATTTTACTTTATTGAAGAGGGAAAATTCAGCACGATTCCTTGACATTTTTCTTTAGTATTTGCTCCGGAAAGTAAAGAAAATTCACCGATGTATAGTAGTCCTCCACTTCAAAAATAAAATATAACGGGAAGTTTGTAAACCGAGGAATGTGGTTTAAGAGTTTCCGCGAAGACATGTCATCTGTTTGGTAATTTCTACTCTCATGTTAAATTAGCAACTGATCAGCTTAAATTATGAACTACGAGCTATATCCTCACTGACAGTAAATTACTGAAATCAAATTAGCTGGTCTTTGTTTCTCATTTGTTACTTTCTTTACAAACAGACACTTCAGAAATACTCTACAGACAGCAGCAAGGAGTCTCATTTTATCCGGCGCCAGGTTTGCACGGCAAATTGTCAAAAAGCATAGGTGTGAATTCTTAGCCGAAGCGCAGACATATTTGTCTGTATGAAATATGAAAGGTCCAAGTCTCCCTTGTTCACTTCTAAACCTACTAACATCGCAGGATGGATGTACTTACAGGACTGACGGACTCTTAAGTTCTCTTCCGGACACAAAAGGTTATGTAGGACTTAGGAATTTTGCATGATGGCATGACTACTAATGTTTTGAAAGTGTACTATTATTCCTAGAAGGCCAAATTTATATTTTTAAATGTTTAAAGAAAGTGGATACTATCAATTTGTCAAGATACAAACTAAGTAGATTTGCTGAAACCATTAAGACAGAGGGTGTTTTAAGTTACTTCACCTGAATAATTCATCATCAGAAATTCTCTCTCTCTCCCAGTTGAACTGCACGACACATGCGCCAACGATCAGCGATCTACCACGTCTTGCCAACTGCTGTTTCACGCGATTGAGAAATAGCCATAATCTCACTTCACCCCACAGTTTGGAGTACATATTGAATATCTGGTAACCTCGTCGAATTCTGTGAGCGATTACAAATTCGCATTGCTCTGAACATGTTTTCACAATGTTGGCTGAGTGTTTCTTCAGGATGACTGGAATTTTACGTACAGCCAAATTTGATAGCAAGTTTCTCCATTTGAATTGAAGTTTCCTCCCGGAATTCAAGTACTTCAATTTCAGATAATTAGGGTAAAATGACTTCAAGCGTAGATCTTCACAAACTTTATGGAAATAGGTGTTTGACTGAATAAAGGGACTGGCTTGAAAGATGGCATTCCGATTGTTCACATGCTTGCATTGTCCATAGAGCTGAGGGAAAATTGATTTAGACAAACTGATAACTTGCATGATAACAGAAATTCCCACAAAACAGACGAACTCTTCAATTCATCAGTTTAAAGAGTAAATAATATACTTGATAGACATGAATTAAGTATTATTCATTTCGTATTGATCACAATTGCACGATGTAAGGTTAGCACTTCGCGGACTTCGCCATCTTCGACTGTACATTGTTACGAGTTGAGATTGCTATAGAAAATAGCATGGTAAAACGATGAGAGAGTGCAAAAAAAATACTTATGCCGCTAAATCAACAATACACTTGATCTTGAGGCAAACTGGGCCAAAAACTTGGAGGAAAATGTGCGACGTTCTTGAAAAAGATAAAAGGGGCGAGTATTGAAATTGATAAGAAGTTCATCGCTCATCATCGGCATAATCAACGTTGAGAGACGACGTTGCAACGATCACCATCCCACTGTTTCAAGATTTCCTAATAAATTGCCAAGTTGCTGTTCATTTATTTAATATTCATGACACCCTGACAGTGATTTTAAAGGGGCGGCCGTCTTATTATAAAACGGGTAAACCATTTGAAAAGCCCGCGTCAGGAAGCGGAATTAATTCCGGGCCGATCTCGGAACTTTTTCCCGGAATATTTGAAAATAATCGGAATAAAATAGTTCCGAATCACGGAATTTTGGGCTGAACGAGAACGGCAGCACTGTTTTCCCGAAATTCCCGCGCAACCACCGGCACCGGCGTTGTTCAATACCAATTCAATACCCCCTTGCGTTGTCCTGCTCTGCACTAATTTTCATTTATCAAATTATTACTTATTAGCAGTTAAAACTGTCATCCGTTGTGTTTATTAGAATCAAGAGAAGCCACTAGAAGTGTTGAGAAACCGAAGTTCCGAGCGTATCTACTTATATAGGTATGAGTGTATGAGTCGTTTTTCTGGTATTCCTTTCAATCGCCTCTCTTTCAACTAAATCGAGGAAGCTTACACTACTGATTGAGAACGCAGTGAAGTTCCCATAACTTACGATGTTACAACAGAATTGTCATCAGACTCCTGTGACGGAACATGTCTTTTTGTCTGTCACTGGACTTGTCTTGGAGACTCCGCTATGGACCAAGAGGCATCTCTTTATCTCCCCTTGTCACTCTCTCCTTCTTTCACTCCCCTGTCGTTTAATCTCTGAAGGAAAGAGTTAGTTTGTCTGCATGTAGTCATGCTGTGATAATGAGGCCAATTTCATCATTTGAAAGCTCACCCAGACCATCTCTTCCCTGAGAATGGATAGCTTAGCCACTGTTTCATCCTCTCATTTCTCTTTCTTTATTTAATGGGCCAGTTACATTGGTAACAGAATCATGTTTCCACGCTTGGTTCTTGTAGATTAGCTCTGTCAATATAAAATATAAAGATCTGTCCCAACAGCAACTCTCTACCTTGATTAATAACCGAGATATCTTGCCTTGAAAAACTCGATGTACGATGTCATCTACTGCATCATAACATGATACGTCCTACCGTGGTGGATGATGTCCTTAATCGAGTTTTTCAGGGAGAGATACCTCGGTCAATGTTCAACGTAGAAATTTGCCGTTTGGCCAGATCTTATCATTTTGTACACCTTTGTGCATTTTAAGGTCTTTTTGTGCAAATTTTACATGTGCACAGCCTAACTATCAGACGCACTTTGATTTATTGCAAGAGAGTATTTCTTCACTCACACTAGAACTTGCGAGAGGTAAGTTGGCAGTTGCTCACTCTCCGTTTGCAAGCAACTGCAATATTGCTAACCAGTAGTGTCGAGGATTGACCAAGGGCGATAGCGCTGTAGTGTTGCTACTGTGCCCAGACATCTGCAACCTGTACCATCCTCTGCGAAGATATTGCTGAAACTGTCCACTGTGCCAGACATTGGAAGTCAGCAACTGCCAGCTTTTCTCAAGTAAGTTCTATCGGAAACGAAGGAAACCGAAATGAAAAGTTAGATTTCACCATTAAGACTTTACCCCATTCTGATATTGTATGAGCTCAACAACCTCAATGTCAATAGGAAAGAAGAGAGATTGAGTTCAAAGGCTTTACTCATCCTATGACCGTGGGCAGAAGCCACTGCCTGTCTTCCATATCAATATGCAGTAAGCATAACGGGACAGTAGCATAGCAGCGGATATTGCTTTTTTATCAAATAAATACTGCACCAGTAGGTTGCAACTGTTTTTTTCAGGGTCGCAGCACTCTTAAACGCTCCTCACATAGGTTGAAAACCATTGCACCCTGCAAGGCATAACGGCATGTTCATACTTATATTATTGGCAAGGAGGAGTCATCCATCACAAGTAGCAATTGAGTTCTGTCGAGGAAACAGTTACGCACCAAAGAAAAGCTTCAAGGGCCCGATACACCTGCGCGCTACCTGTGCCTCTTGACCTGAATAGTTGGATCTATTCCTACTTTGAGCTAGTTACGGGCGGCGAGTTGCAACCTGATTGGCTACGAAGATTGCCGAACACGGCCGAAGAGCTTCTCGCTGCTCAAGACGTGCGCCTAGTACGCAGGTGTGTCTGCCCCTTTAGAAAGAGACCTTAGAAACCTGTATTGTGAGAACAAGGTGCGTCACATGCATGTATTGAAAAACTTAAATATTCTTCAACACGTCCATAGTGAAGGTGAATTTTGGTTAATATGATCATGGATCACCCTTCATCAAGTAAAGGGTACTCACTAATATGGTCTAGCAGTTCAGGGTTCTTGGAATTTCTGGTAACTCGAAACATGACAGCTCTTCTAACGCTCATATAACCCTTTGTACCCCTCAACAACTCTATCTGTCAAAGGTGTTTTGAGAGTTCGGACTGTCCTTTTACGAGAAGTTCTCCCACAAACTCTTTTTAATAAGTATGATCTCTTTCAGGTCCAGTGACTTAGTCATGGAGCAAGGCATTTATGCAGACTTGGTCAAGGGCTCTTGTCGTGTTTCGGTATGTGTCATAGATTTTTGTGGTTTAATCAATCGATTTCAACAGATCAGCAAGGCTTTGATATGTTGACCGGTCAAGTAATTCTAGGTGGCGGCAGCCACCCCAGCCCTATCCCGAAAAACGTCTCCTAAAAAGTTGACAACCAAAAAAAAAAATAATCTTTACAATCAGAAATAGGAAATTTTCCATAATCAAAAAATTTGTTTTGAACACAATTAGCCTTTTACCTACCGTAAATAGCATTTTTAAAGGTGCATCAACGTTTCTTGTTAGATATTGAAATAGGGTTGCAAGGTTGCATTTGTGCAGCAAAGTTATGTTTGAAACTTCTGATTGTCTGCCTTTTAATATAAGAATAATATCTTTGATGCCTTTTAATGTTAAAATGAAGAATGAAGCATCTTGGTAGTACTTGCTCATCTGTATAAAAATTAATGTATTTGACACAGAGAGCTTTTGTTATCAAGGCACATTTTGTCAATCTTCCATGTGAATTTAACAGAAGATACAGATAGTATTTTAAAGTGTTTTCAAGAGCTAGCTCATAATGTCCATTAATGCCAACAGACATAATCTAATATGGATTGCACTTTGCAAAAATGAACCACAAGCATTCCAATGTAGCTAAGATTGTGCAACATTTTTCCCCTTGCAAGTAGAAACTGATCATGCAAACAAGTTTTATCTTTACTCCCAATAAACTATGAATTTTAGACGAAAATTACATTCGTAAATTTAATTTTCTCCATGATATATGTAATTTCTTGCAAAGAATTCAAGTTGCACAATCTTAGCAACATTGGAATGCTCTTGGTTCCTTTTTGCAAAATGCAATCCATATAACAGTCGTATCATTTTCTCTGGAGTTGTATTTGGCGATTAAATAACCCAGAAATGTGAGCGAATCTGTAAGAAGGAACCTTATCTCCTGGTAGAAAATTTCTCTCAACTTTCTGTAATTGCATGAAGGAAAAAAATCGGGAAATTTTGGTGCAAGTTTGACCCTAAAATCTCAAAAATTAAAGGAGATATTAGGTAGTCCTAAAGTTCCTAGATAAAGTGTCCCAGGTTTTAGGCATATGTAGTTTAAAAGTCTGCAAAAAGTTAAGTAACATTTTCTCCTGAAAGATAGGGTCCTTTTTCACATATCTGGCCATAAATATTCTTTCCTTTACTTAAATGAAGTTTAAGGAACTTCCTATTATGCTTGAGTGGAAGTAAACAACATAGATGGGTGTAGTTTTAGTGTTTAAATAATTTACATTTAGCATTTAGTAATCCTATCTCTCTCTCCTCATATATAGATTACGTCAGTGACCAAACTCTCTACCTATTTTCTGTTTTGTGCTTTTTTTTAGACTCTAGCAAATAATTGGAGAGATTCTCACTCAACCGATCCTCAGAGATGCCGAAAATCTTTTTATGAACTTATGTTTTGTTGTGCCAGAATAGCATTCAATAATACTGTCTCTGAAACATTGAGTTCTTTTCAGTCTGAATTGCCTGCCGTAAGTTGCGAACATTCTTAATGTATCTTTATGAGGTATTTTTTTGTCACAATTTTAAATATTGCATGGAACAAAACAGCCCACCTACTTCTTAAAACAGAAATTATAGAAAGTCCTCTACTAAAGATATGAAAACCGCTAATGTTAATGAAGAAATCTGAGACTAACATATGCCGAGAATTCTTTGAATTTTTTCACAAGCAAGTCTTGAAGCATTTGAAAATTCAAGAGAGTTCTACTATGAGATAATGTGAAACTGCCGAAATATTTCTCTTGCCTTTTCCCTGAATATGTTGCACGAGTGCCTAGTCTTTTTACAATCAACAGTAATCATGTGAATGGTGCTACTGTAAGGGAACCCTCACAAAGAGGAGCTCTATTCTGAAGGGTTTTTTAAAAAAAGAACTTTGTTCCAAAGAATTCTTATAAAATAACTCTGTGGTTGGAAATCAGAAAAAGAACCACAGCTTTTTACCGGGAATAGCTTTGGAAGTATTATATATAACCAAATCACATCTCTAGTTCTTTCTATTATTGGACGCTGATTTCCTGTTATCAGTATTTTATATATCTACCTCTTGTCTTTTCGTAGGCTGAAAAAAACTGTCCAATCCTAAATAGACACTTTTGCGCCCGTTTGGAGATCTTTCTCATTCTTTGTTTCAAAGATATTCCCATTGAACTCTTGCAAGATGCAAATTTTTGGGATACTGTCACAATCATCGTTAATAAATTGATGGAGCGTCACGAGAAATGTTGTCGTTATGCATCAACCATTTTTGGTAAAGTATTTACCTACCTTACATCGTTATTTTCGTTTTTTTAGGTCTGTATAAATTTTTGAGTAAGCTTTTTCTCTTCTCTCCCCTATGAATATTCAAAAAATACTTCATCCTCTCTCCAC